GATGAAATTTATATAAAAATATAGAAGAGAATTTTTAACTTCCGTCACCACTTAGAGTAGTTAATGGAAGTTATAAGTGTGAGATATTTTTTGTGAGAGATGGAAGTTAATTTTTCAATTGGTAACCAACAAAAGTTATTAACCACTTAAAATTTTAAATTAAAATATTTTCTTGTTGATAAAAAAGGTGAAGGGTAATTTTGGAATAAAAATAAACCACACCAAAAACTTGTATCCCCTTTATATATATATATATATATATATATATATATATATATATATATATATATATATATATATATATATATATATATATATATATATATATATATATATATATATATATATATATATATATATATATATATATATATATATATATATATATATATATATATATATATATATACTATGAGAATGTTATTTTTATTTGAGAACATGAATTTGAATTATTAAATTTAAATATGTGTGAGAAGAGAGAGAATTTTTGATAGTTAAAAAATAATGTTTTAATTTAAGTCATTTATTTCAATAATAAAAGAAAGAAAAATTGATTGAAAAAAAATGAAACATAATCTCACCCACTTATATTAAATTTAATAGTTTATATTCCTTTTCATACTCTCACATAAAAATAACATTACCATATTATACGTCATATATCTATCTATAACATTTAGTATTTAAAAATTCTATATTATAAGTACCTTATATAATCTTTTTTTATTGCACTTATTTTTTAAAAAAATCTATAAAATAGGATTCTTACCAAAAATAATTTTATTGTGATTATTAAATTGTTATTAAAATATTTGTTACAAAACAGACTTAATAATTAGTTAGTTTATTATCATAAAATAAAACTCAATTGTATTTTCTATTTTTTAAAATAAAAATTATCTAGATTATAAATATTTTTCAAAAATAAAAGAAAAATTTCAAAATAAAACTTCTAAAAAATAATATTTGTTTTAAAATAATCAAAAACATAAATTGTTAAATTATGTTCATAGTATTAAAATTATTTTTATATAAAACATAATTTTTAATGTTGTATCTCATATTTTATAGAATTATAAGTTTTACACAATTTATTTGATAAATAAATTGTTCTAGACTTATTTTTAAAACTGAACAAAACTCTTAATATTTTAATAATAATTTATTGCAATAATTAAATTGTTATTAAAATATTGAGGCTCTTCTTTAAATTTAATAGTAATTCTAGAAAAATTTATTTATAATAATAAATTCTGGAAAAAATGATTCTAAATACATTCAAATTAATATTCAAAGAATGAAGTTTTAAACAAAATATTATATGACATAATTTTATATAAAAATAATTATAATACTAAAACGAAAAGTAAATAATTTATGCTTTCAGTTATTTTTAAATTAATATTATTTTTAAAGTAATATTATTTGTAATTTAGATAATTTTTAATTTTATATGAAAATAAAAAATATATTTGAATTATATATTTTTTAATAATATTCTAAATAAATATTAAGTATGGTTAGAGCTAAAATTTTAATAACGATATAATAAATCCTAAACAAATATTTTTGGTAAGAATATATATATATATATATATATATATATATATATATATATATATATATATATATATATATATATATATATATATATATATATATATATATATATATATATATATATATATATATATATATATATATATATATTAAAATTATTTAAGTAATTAATATAATAAAAAATATTGAATATGGTGTTCTTTTTATAAAAATTTTAAACCTTAAAAACTAATTAAATCTGATGATATATAATAATAATTCTTGTTTTTAAAATCAAAGAGCATTTTAATATTCTATACTATTATTTGATTTAATTACAGGTTTTGTTTTTTCTATTTTATCTGATTCATAAAATTGACTCTATATTTTAAATTTAAATAGTTTTAGTTATTTTTTCTAACTTTTACACTTAAAATTAAATAGTTTTAAATGATAAATGGTGAAAAAATATCAAAATTATTTAAATCTGAAATAGCAAAATTAATTTCATAAATAAGTTAAAATTGGATGATTGAACTAATATACATCATCCTTTTGCCCATCAATAAAAAAATAATATTACCTATATTGTATGGGTAAATACACAAACTAATCACTTTTTATTTATTATTTTTTTGCTTAATCTAGTAAAATACTCTAAATATTATTAGAGGAAAGAAGTATTAAATAATTGTTTTAAATACAAAGCACTGACTATTGTTGAACATAACCTTATTTAATATACAAGCTTTTTAATTAAAAAAAAAAATTTAACATTCCTATAATAGATGGCAAACAAATATATTTTATAAAATGAAACATTGAATTGAGTCAAATAGTGATCTCCCCTTACACACAAAAAAAAAATTATTTTCTCAAAAGAATTCATTGATTCCAGAAACGTATTGTTTTTTTAACCTTAAAAAAATAAAAATAAAATAAATTATATTTTTCTAAAATGATTTAAAGAAAAATATTTTTTAAAATATTACAATTTTGTTTTAGTTTTATTTTATAAAAAATAAAAATAAATTTTAACATTCTATAACATAAATATACATCATTGAAGATAAAACATAGTCCAAATTTCAATTTTTTTTTAAAAATATATATCTTAAAAATGATTTTGTTTAAAACTATTCGAAATAGTTTTTTTTTTAATTTTAAAAAGGTTACAATAAAATGATAAAATATTTAAAATAAAATTTTAAGAATAACTATTTAAATTAATTTTTCATTTGAAGTTTTTTTTAATCCTTTTTAAAAAGTTTGTAAACTACACTATGAAAATCATACCAAAAAAAAAAACACAGAAATAAACTGAAAAAGAAAAAATCAGAATATAAACCCAAAATTAATAATGCATTTAATATACTTTTCCACTTGATACTTTATTTTTAAAATATTTTTTTTCATAACTATACATATTTTATTGGTTTTTAAAATATTTTTTTAATATCAATTATTCTTATTTTGCTCATCAATATTATTGAAATTTATTTTTTTTTTCTAAATTTTCTCGTTTAATTTTATGAAGTATCCTTGAAGATTCATCATTGTTTGAAGATATGTGATATAAGATCTCAGAAGAATTTTTGAAGAATTAACAAAGTAGATTTTTTAATTATTATTTATGAAAATTATTTGTGATATTGTTAATGAAAAACTACAAAATTAACTATTTGTGATATTGTTAATGAATAACTATAATTTTAATACTGAAATATTATTGAAAAAAGTTTCACAAATAAACCTTTTTGATTATTATATCTAAACATATTTCTTAGAAACTTTGTTATAGTGAACTGTGGCTGATTAAACTTTAACTGTCACGGTTACGATTCAATAAAAATATATAAATACATTAATATTGTTGATTAAAATATTAAAATGTCACATTTTAGATTATATTATTATTATTATAAATAAATGTTTTGTTTTATATATATATATATATATATATATATATATATATATATATATATATATATATATATATATATATATACATATATATATATATATATATATATATATATATATATATATATATATATATATATATATATATATATATATATATATATATATATATATAGTTTGATACGATAAAAGGCGTATATATTGTGCGTCGTGGGAGTTTCTTAATTCATTGTTTATTAGTAAAGATGAACTTTGGATATAAGTGGTTTTCTTGGATTCTATCATTAGTCTATAATGGTTCAATGTCAGTGTTGGTTAATGGTAGTGCAACAAGAGATTTAAGAGTCAGTAAAGGTCTGCGTCAAGGTAATCCCTTATCGCCTTTTCTTTTCATTCTTATTATGAAGGTCCTAACTCAACTGGTAAAGAAGGCAAAGAATAAAGGTTTATAGAAAGGTTTTAGGGTTAACTCTAATGTCCATTATAGCATTACTCAGTTTGCTGATGACACTTTAATGATTGGTGAGACTATTTGGAGTAATCTTTGGGGTATAAAGGTAGTGCTTCGGGGGTTTGAATTACTTACGGGCCTTAAGGTGAATTTCTTCAAAAGTAGAATTGGAGGTGTCAACTTAAGTCCAAATTTTTTGGAAGCAGTTTCTTCTTTCTTGCACTGTGAGATAATGGAAATCCTGTGTGTTTTTCTTGGAGTGTTCATAGGTGATAGTCCAAGGAAGTTCTACCCATGGAAGGGAGTCATTGATATAGTGAGGAGCAAACTTACCGATTAGAAAGGGAGAAAGTTGTCTATTGGAGGTAGAGTAGCCCTTATCAATTTTGTCATTAATGCTCTTCCGTTGTATGCCTTTTTGTTCTATAAAGTTCATGTAGGAGTTATCAAGATCCTGCAGAGTATCCAAAGTAAGTTTTTGTTGGAGGATGTGAAACAAGGAGGAGAATGCATTGGGTGGATAGGAACTCAATTTGTTTGCCTAAAGAGAAGAGTGGTTCGGGCATCAAGGATTTAGGGTATTTCAACAAAGCCCTTCTTATGAAATGGAAATTGAGGCTGTTGTATTCAGAAGAGTGGTTCGGGCATCAAGGATTTAGGGTATTTCAACAAAGCCATTCTTATGAAATGGAAATTGAGACTGTTGTATTCAGAAGAGTGTATATGGAAGGGGATATTGGAGAGTAGGTATGATAAAAAAGGGTTAGCTTTGGAAATTAATAGTTATGAAGGGAAGAAAAGTAAGAGAATAAATTAAATATGGTGGAAATACCTTTTGGATTTGTGTTATGAAGTAGTACAAAAGAGGATTTTTTTTGTTGAAAATATAAGGTGTAAGTTGGGGAATGGAGTTGGAGTGTCATTCTGGCATAATAGGTGGATTTTAGAAGTCTCTCTTAAGGAAATATTCCCAAATTTGTTCATGTATATTATTAACTCTTGTTGTTTTATCGCTGGGTCAGGAGAATGGAGAGGGGAGGAGTGGGAATGAAACCTGAGTTTTCTTGATTTTCCCCCTGATTCAGTTATGGCTAGAGAAATTGAGGATCTAATTAATATATTGGGGTTAGAAAAGCCAAACCGTGACTGTGTTGATATTTTTTCTTGGGAGCCAACTATGCCATTATCCTCTTCTACTAATTCTTCTTTTTCAGTTGGTTCCTATTATAAGGGTTTGTCTCAGGACATGTTGGGCAGTAGTGTAGTAGATGAAGTGTTAAGTGGCCTCAAGAAGATGTGGCAGGAAAGTTTACCATCTAAAGTGTCGATTTTCTTTGGAAAGTTTTGAGGAAGATGATAGCTTCGAAGGAGGTTTTGGCTAAAAGGAATATATTGGTTGGAGGGGGGAGGGGGGAAGGGGTTGAGCTGTAAATCATGTGCTTGTCCTGTGGAAAACATAAATCACATGTATTTGTATTGTGCTATTGCAGGTGCAGTTTGGAAAGGTATCAAGATTTGGCTTGGTGTCAGTTTCAGCAGAAGTAACAACTGTCTTGATTCCCTCTTGAATTTTTAAATAATTGTCAAAGGAGCTACGAGAAACTCGAGTGGTTTAATCGTGTGGGCATCAACAATGTGGTTTCTATGGTATGGTAGAAACTCTGCTATTTTTGACAACAAATCTAAGTCTATTGAAGATCTTCTGAATTCCATTAAGTTTTTCAGTTGGAAATGGTTATATGTTTATAGATCATTTAATTGTAGTTCTTTTTACGACTGGTATACTGTTCCTCTTGAGTGTTTATAAAGGAAGAAATAGTTTGGTTTGTTCTTGGTTGCTGCACCCCTTGTGCAGTCTTTTAATATATCATTGTCTACATAATTTTTTTTATTAATAAATAAATATACTATTTATGTTCTTTACAATTATAAAGAATGGGGTAGTAGTTTGTACTCAATTGAATAGGTTTTGATAAAATCAAATTGGATAATGTTTGTTAATTTTATTCAAAGAGACTAAATAAAGTTTATATCTTCATGGCAACATTACTCCAAGGGTCCTTTAGAATAATTAATTGTAATAGATTGGTCCTTTACGTTTTTTGCTACAAGAAAATCCTTTAAGTTACATAATGTCTACACCGTTTGTCTTTTTTAATTATTCCGTTTCAAAAATGCACAACTGCTGAGATGACATACGTTTGAATATTACTTGAAATAATTGGGAAAATTATTTTTCATCTTTATTAAATCCCTAGAATATATGTATCAGGACCCAAAAGAGTTCTTATTCTACTTTCTCTAACAATTGCTTCATACGGTATATATTTGTCAAATTCACATAGCCCTAATTGTAATTCATTGATTTTGAGTGCAAGCTATGGTGAAATCGAACCAAGGTGTACTTGTGGAGCAAAGGCAGCGACACAAACAGTGTGGAAGAAAAGACGAAATTTCGGGAAGCTTTTTGGGGCTGCATAAACTTTGTGGTAAGTTTATTGCTATTGTCTGCTTTGTCTTGTTGGATAATGCTAACTGTTAGATGTTAACATTGTGAACGTTCAAATTCTGGCTGTAAATTTTTTGAGTGGGTTGAAAAAGAGTTCAATAGTGAAGGGCAAACAGAAATCAACACTCAAAGGAGATGTTCAAAATGCAATGAAAATGACGCATAAATCAAAATGTTGAAGAAAAAGATAAAAATCCATGAAGATGACTACTTCATAAAAGAGATGATGAAGAACATGTTGAAGATGCTAATTTTTGTCATAATGTTTTTAGTTGTGATTATTGTAATGTTGATGTGTATGTTGATCCATAAATATTGATTATAGTTTATGTTGATGTTAGTGTTGTAAGACAAGATATTAATGTGTTATTGTAGTAAATATATTTAATGTGATGCTTATTTTGTGCCCAATTTTTCTGTCAAATTTTATGTTGTCCATATTTGTTGCAGTAGGGACATAGTTTGTGCCCATATATGTTGCACTAAAAAGGAGTTAAATGACATATTTGTTACACTAAAGAATAGTTAAATGAAATATTTGTTACATTAAAGAATAGTTAAAGGATGTATTTGTCACACTTTAAGAGACTGCATTAACCGCTGTTTAACAACTTAGTATACCGTCACATTTTATGTTGCATAAGGACATAGTTTGTGTCCATATTTATTACACTTTAAGAGACATTGTAGAAATCATTGAAGAAATATAAAAGGATTTAATATCTTTCATTAAGTAACCAAAATATCATCTAAAATACTTTAAATAACAATCCAAAATATATAGTAGACATCCAAAACATAAAATGATGATTCAAATTACATATTTCTAAGTCAACCATCTATAATCCAAAAAAACAAAAACACCTACATGGTCATAGTTCAGCAAAATATAAAAATCAATATTCTAATGTTGTTTTCTCTTTATAGACAACTTAGGTGTTGTCCTTCTTGGTGGCTAAAAAGCTATTGTTGGTACCTGAAATGGCGTAGTCTCTCTTCTTGGTGATACTCTTGTTTGGAGTGTAGTGGCGTGATCCTTCTTTCCTTAAAGTCTTGTTGTTGGTTTCCTGCCCTCCACACCAGTTCTTTCAACTGCTTACCAGGAAATCTTTTTCTAAAGTTGTTCTACAAATGTCTTACACATAACATTTGGTTAACATCTGGCAATAATTCTTCCAATGCAGGTAACAACCCCTAAACATAGAAAAATAGTTAAACATATAATTTATGTTGCTAAAATGTTAATGACTATGTGAATGTGATTTGTACCTTTTGTTTGTCTGATATAAAGGTGAATTTCTTTCAAACTTATGGATCACCTAAATCTCGAACTAGAAGATCAAGAAACCAAACCCATGAGTCCTTAGTTTCTGCTTCAACCACAGCCAATGCAATGGGCATCATTTGGTCATTAGGGTCTCTACCTATTGCTGCAAGAATCTATCCTCCATAATAACCCTTGAGAAAGCACCCATAAACTCCAATTATTGATCTACAAACTTGAAAACTTCTCTTACAAGCATCAAGACACATATATAATCGCTGAAAACTTGACAATAATGGTTTACTTACACAGTTCTCATGTTTCTCAGTTTCCTCACTTTGTGGTTCAATTGGTTACACTCATAACTTAGTTGTGTTGTTTGGATTTGATCTAAAAAACTCACGCATGTAGTCATACAACCTCAGATATTGTTTCTTGAATGACCCTTCTACATAATTAAGTGCTACCTTCCTTGCCCTGTAAGCCTTCATTCTACTCATACCAGTATTATATTTCTTATGAACTTTCTCACATATTATAATAAGTTTCACAGCTGGATTAACTCTAAGAGTTGAGTACAACTTTTTCCCAAGCCATTTAGTGGTACACATCCTTACATTAAACTCCCTATTGCATGTGTGAGTGTCAATCAATTTTATTAGATGCCATCTATCCTTATTTGGAAATTTGGAACATACTGCAACCAATTCACACCCTTCCTTGCATCCTGTTGCACCCCAAAATTTGACCAACCGGTTCCCACACCCTGCCTTTATTTGCTTTTTAGGATTTAATGGTCTTTTTTCTATATTTTTTTAATAGATTTTAAATAGTTTTAGAATATACTTCTTTTTTATATAGAATTAAATAGGTTTTCTTTTAATAGGTTTATTAGTTATTACAGAGTTTAATAGGTTTTAGAATTAATAGATTTGGTTTTAATAGTTTTTGTTAAATAGATTTTGTTATAGATATTAATTAGGTAGATTTTGTTCTCCACTATCTCTCAGAGCCAGCACATCATTCCACTTCCCCACCACACACACACGTGGCTCTCATGCAAGCACCCTCTGCATGCAATCCAAGCCACGCGTCCTCACCTCTCTTCCTCCTGCATGCATGTACGCCACTTGTCCCCCTACCAGACTCTCGCCCGAGACCCTCACCGGCCGGCATGCAATTGCCGGCGACCACCACCGGTAGGGGTGTTCATGGGTGCGGGTCGACCCGCAAACCCGCCTACCCAAACCGAACCAACCCACTAATTACCCGGACCCATTCATTTACGGGTATACCCGACCCAACCCGTATAGATTTGGTTCGGGTATTGAGTTTTAGTTTCTAAACCCATGAACCCGTTGACCCAACCCGTTGACGTGGCATAATTAATTATTATTATTATTATTATATTATTATTACTAATATATACTGTATATTATTATATATTTGTTTTACATATGTTGATATATATTTGTAATGGATAACATTTGAGTATCAAAATAACTAATAAATTTTTATAAATTAAGGTATATTAATGAAAATATATAAATAATTAATGGTGTATATGTATCTTAATATTTTTTATGACAAAGAAAATACATTTCAAAATTTTAATTGTTATATTTTTAATTATTCTATTTTATATGTAGGATTTGTCTCCACTACGTAAATAATTTAATTGTTTGAAATATGCAAAATTATATTGAATTGTGTTATAGATTTTTTAAATTGAAAATAATAATTATTATATACACAACCCGTGGACCCAACCCTACCCAACCCGTAAATATCCGGGTTGATTCGGGTCGGTTTTTAAAGTAGAATTACGGGTTTGATGATAAACCCAACCCATTGAAAGTTGAACGGGTTGGATAACGGGTTAAGGCGAACCCGGTCCAACCCAACCCGCGTACACCCCTAACCACCGGGACCACCGTAACAACCTTCTAACCGCCACCGACCACCGTAACAACCGCCGGAAACACAAAATCTCCAGAAAATCTTCATCCAATTCATCATTTCTTCATCTTTCTTTTCAGATCATCATCAAATCTTCAACTGTGATCAAGAATTCATCAGAAAATTCATCCATACTCTTATATTTTTCCAGAAAATCTCCATCACATTCATCCATTCAACATCAAAGTTCATCACCTTCTATCAATCTCCAGAAAATCTACACCGGATCTCCATCAGTTCATCATCATCTTCGTGATGTTCATCTTCATCCAAAACTCACCAGAAAGAACATCAAGAATTTTCCAGATCGTCATCCTACCTTCATCATCTTCGTATGATCTTCATCAAGATTTCTCAGCAAGACTCTAAACAGGTTCACCGACTTCTTCATCGTTCATCATATTGTCTCCGTAATTGCTCAAATCTTCAAGGACTCCAACATCAAAGCCGAAATATTCACATGCAACACCCTCAACGGAAGAATCTCAGCATTCTTCATCTCCTTCAATAAAACTCAGAATCTTCAACAAGTAGCAACATCTTCCATCCAAATCGCATGCAGATTCAAGAATCCTCATCTACGGAATCAAAATCACACCGTTAGATGAACTCCACC